CCCCCCGCCTCTCACTCTTATCCTGTTTGTGAACTTTCACACAACGCTGGATGTTTCTGTCTTTTACAACCGCCTTGGAAGTTCATGACACTACTAAGATATTTATCTCACCAGCATCAAAAGGCAGACAGGCCGATGATAAGCATGCTTGCGGCTGGGTTTAATTTCTCTGATTTAGAATTCATCCCATGACTCGCGCACATGAGTCTCTGTGCATTTGTGATGTTATGTATGACAAAGAGCTGCAGCAGACATCCACCATTTTTGACAGACTTGTTGTCTTGTTGTGTATTTGTTCTCCTTTTAGACAGCGCTACGGCAACTTGCCAATGAAGCACTGCATTAATCAGAGATGTTTCCCCCCCCAAACCTTTCTCATCTTCCCTGTCTTCCTTTGAGATACCACGCATCTAAGGATTGAGTTCATTTCACAGTGTACTATTTTTAAATTGTGGTTCTCCGCCATAGAGTTCTCATGATAATTCATGAGACTTAGCTTCAGCCTAAGGAAGGCGGAGCCACGATTCAGTCCTTTAGCTTCAGATTTTCTTAACTTTCACTTTCTTTTTGTGCTCATCTCAGCACCGTTTTTCTTTCATGACCGCCCTTAAGACATAAATGTAAAGCTTTTATGTAAAGCATTCCCCCTTTTTGACCATTTAAAATACTTCACAGACCAGCAATCCCAATTATGCAAATATCATGTGGGATAAGAAACCACTGCAAAGTTGCCAGCATATTTAGTCACCTGAGAAACCTGTTTCTTGATTCCTGTTTTCTAATTTTCTTCTGCCACTGACATATTAACACATTTATGGGAGTGTCCAGCCTTGTCCTCAAAGAACGAATCACTATGTTGACATTTACTCCACTGAGGATTTCTGATGTGCATGACAGCTAATTAACGTCAGTTCTTTAAATTGAAGAAATGTTCATAACAGCATGATGCATAACAATGACAGGACAGCATGAATAGGGAGGCGGTGGGTTAACCCACATTTTTAGGCTGACATAATGACATGATTCAAGATTACAAACAACAGTAATTGGAATCAAAATGATGCAATTGACATGGATAGGGTTTCACCAACAAAGGACCCTTTCTCAAACAGTCAATCTGATCGGGATCATAGTTTACCATTCTCTTCTATGTTACAACTAACTATGAGGGATTATGGTTGAAGTACTGCTTTATTATTGATGATAAGCAGCAGCAGGGAGGACAGGAGAAAGATCAAAGCAGAAGATACTTTATCCCTGTATTCACCTTAGCATTGATGCATCATAGAAGCTAACAGACATAGTAGATTGCTAAACCCTGTGAAGCAACTGGACATAACATCTTATTATGTATATTAAGGAGCACTGAAGAAGTGTCCTCAGCATGCCAATGACCCTGTTTGTTTTCCATTCCAAAATAGTTGCTTGTTAGTCACAAAGAGAACGTTTATGCAAAGAGACAAGGGGGAAGGAAGTGGCTGGCCCTAACAAAGGATGCTCACTTGGACGAGAGAGTGGCTGATCGATAGAGCCCTGAGAGAGCTATCAATCAGAGGCTTGGTTTAGTAAATTATGGTTGTATTAGTATTGAGCTAACCTCCACTGTGAGGGACCTTAAAACATTGAGATGCTGGCCTACATCAGAGGCAGGGAAATCTTTGTGGACCCCCGCCTCTTGTCTTAATAGCGAGTGATTGAAGTCCGGTTAGATCATGGCTTGTAGGGACTACAGGTCCCCTGCTGTCATGGCAAATGGTGATTCAAGGGAAGTAGATACAGTTAGGGCACACTGCGGTGCACTCTGGGAAATGCAGTTTGCAGTGAAAGGGTGACTAAATTGAGGAAAGTAGATCGCAGAGCAGCAGAAATGCAATTCCAGCGCTGCTGGGCCCTCATTCCCAGCCGGCTCTCTGAGGACTAACTCATTTAGGAGCAGCAGGGGAAACTCAATAGCACCAATTGAGAAAATAATATATTGAATCTGGTGGTTGAGTGTACTGCTTGGGCATGGTGGAGGGCAGTGGAGGTGAAGTGTGTACTAAAGACTGAAATGTTTTTAAGCAACATACACGTGTATTTGAATACACACACACACACACACACACACACACACACACACACACACACACACACACACACTCACACTTTATAT